AATGTACTTAAATACAATTACATAACCCTTAAGAACTATACACAGACTATAGGCTACCATATCCTGAGACCCAAATTCCAAGATTAACCAGTACTCTTGATATCTTCTCTTGTCTTAGCAATCAGAAGTCTTAGGGATATAACAAGAGAAGCACCTCATCAGAAAAAAGAACTTTGAATCTAGCATCTGGTCTTTCTCATAATCTTTCCCAGAGAAACTAAAATCTACTCCATCTTTCTCTACAAAATTCTTACGATGCAGAAAAGAAACAGACAGATTGGCCCAAATAAGAAACTAAAGTACAGTGGTCTCCCCTTATCCACAATTTTGCTTTCCATGGCTTCAGGTACCCATGGTCATCCACAGTCCAAAAATATTAAATGGAAAGTTCCAGAAATAAAGAATTCAAAAGTTTTAAATTGCCTGCAGTTCTGGGTAGCATGATGAAATCTCGTACTGTCCTACTGTCCCACTGGCATGTGAATCATCCCTTTGTCCAGTGTATCCAGGCTGTATATGCTACTTGCCTGTTAGTAGCTATCTCAGTTATCAGAGGGGGTGGGAAGAGAGAGAGAGAGAGAAAGAGAGACAACGTTCACATACCTTTTATCACAGTATATTATATTGCTATAATTGTTCTATTTTATTATTAGTCATTGTTGTGCATCTCTCTCTGTACTTAATTTACAAATTAAACTTTATCACATGTATGTATGTATAGGAAAAAAACATAGTATATATCAGGTTCGGTACTATCCACAGTTTCAAGCATCCACTGGGAGTCTTGGAACTTACCCTCCACAGATCTGTGGGGACTACTGTATAGGAGGGAAGGGATTTGCAGTGTCAGGGAGAAAGCCAGACTCACAGCCAGGCTTCCAGTCGTCTTGCTAGATCTTATTTGCCTGTAGGCAGGAAAACAGGTATTATGTGCCCGGTCTTTTCCATACCAACACCACCTTTCTGTTTGCCCACGAGGGAAGAAAACTCTTCCCAGATGAACAAGAAAAGCAGCAGAGTTTTCCTTCACAGATTTGCACTGGGTCAGCCTCGGAGATCTGGAAGTCAGCAGAGAATCAACACTGCTCTCAAGTGTTCCATTTTATTCTGACTCCTCCCATGCCCTGAAAATACTCTGGTTTTGTGGACAACTCCCCCTCCCCCTGGATCAGCTACTCCTTCAGTGGGCCAGAGCAGGGTTCTATTTACAAATCTTTCCAGAATTCAAGCTGACTCTGGCAGAATAATACAAAAACAGAACTGTTAAAAATCTTCCACAGGGGATTTCTGATTTACATAGGGAACTTGCTATTTCTAATGCAGCCTCTCCCAATTTTTTTATTAAAAATCTCATGAAGGCATGGGGAGGAAAATAAGAAAGTCATGATCAAACTGAAAAGACTAGAACTAATGAAATGTCAAAGCTGAGAGGAAGTGAAACTAAGTAAAGGCAGATGGGAGAGAGATGGATGTAGAGGAAAGGGAGAGGGAGAGAGAGCGAAATGGGTTATACCTCTCCATGGGGATTGATCCAGAAAACCCCACCCCAGCCTACCACCTGAGTTGAGGAACTGTGAGGTGGACCTATTACTGACTCTACTCACCCTTAAACCAGCCAACAGGTGTTGGGGTGAACACTGAGATGGCAGAGTGGATACAGGGAGAGAAGACCAGTAAGAACCCTGTTCTTATCTGTCCTATTGCCAGGAGCTTTCATATGTCCAACTGCACTTGGGTCACATCTGGCCTCTCCTTTTGAATCACAAACTACAGGCTGCAATATCCTGAGACCAAAATTCCAAGGTCGACCAATACGATGGAACAGATAATAACTAGGAAGTACTATACATATATATAAATAAATTGTATTATTATTGTTTAGCTCAGAAGACCAGGCATTGGGGGTAGGAAAAGATGGCACCGTGGAGAAGCAGAGAGGAACAAAGAGAAAACTAGCTTGAAACTGGGAGTTGGACCAGGCACTGTACAAACAATTTTCTCTCCTGCTTAAAGATGCCAACACAAAGAGGTACACAGGGTGGGACTAAGTTCTGTTCACTTTGTCCTTTAATAGACGCAGTCTCTTTACCAGCGCTGTACAGTGCGGTAGCCACAAGCCACATGTGGTTTACTGAGCAATCAAAATGTGGCAGGTGCAATTGAGAACCCGAATCTTTTATTTTGTTTAATTTTAATTAAATTTAAAATTTAAAACTGAAGCAGTATAAAATATTTTTTCATAACACACAACTTTAATGTTTTGGTTGGGCTACATTTTACTTCACTCATTGCATTGTGTAGTGCACATGTCAGGCACGTTGCATTTTTTTGAGTGTTACACCTAATCACATCACCAATTTAGTTGGTGTCAACAGGTTTATTCACTTTGAATATTTTTCTTTGCATTGATGCAACATTTTTAATGTATATATTTGAATATGTTTTACAGACATTCAAGCTAAGTGATTACCTATGTAAATAGGGTACTCGTAATTAAATTTCAATGCTTATTATTTTTTAGTTTAAAAAATAAGTATAGACACATTTAAAATTTAAAACCAATGCATGTCACTGATGTGGAATAAGAGAGACTGAATTGGCATAAGAGTTAGTAAGTTAACTTAGATGCAGTTTACAAGTGTTATGCTTTTAGTTTAAAAGTCAAATTCTAAAAAAGATGAACCAGTTTTTTCAATGGGGATACAAATATTAAAGGAAAATCATTTTTTGGTACTCAATTCAGATATCAGAAAATTTTTAAGTATGTCTGAAATAATTTGAGCATGTTAGCCTACATGAAAACTAAATTTTATAAAACCTAAACACATAACAAGTATTTCTGATAAAAATTTAGTATTTGAATTCAGATGTTCTGTCAAACTACACACCAAGTTGTTAAGACTTAGTATGAAAAGAAGACTTTAAAATATCTCATTAGTAACTTTTTATATTGATCACATGTTGAAATGATAATTTTGGGTCTATTGGATAAAATAATTTCTATTATTAAAGTTAATTTCACCTGTCTTTACTTTTTAAATGTGACTACTAGATAATTCAAACTTACATTTGTAGCTCACTTTATATTTCTATTGCATAGCACTGCTCCAGACATCTCACCTTGTTTAATAATTATTACAGCTATTATTGAGCACTTACTTTATTGCATCAGTTACTGTTTTAAACACTTTACATAAATAATCAGGTTATCATTTTTAGTTTCACAAAAAACATATTTATCTTCTTAGTGCCTTCATTTACCATTTGTTAAAAAAAGAAAAAAGAAAAACACGCTATAACAAAATATTAGAGAATAAGAGAAAAAAGACAAAGCCATAGAATATTTAAAGGAAAAGCCTATCCCTGAAAATAAGTCATTTAATTATTCAGAAGAAACAGTCAGGAAACTATTGGGCATCTTCATTATTTGGTAGAATAACATAACATTCAAAATAGGAGAAAAATGACCAGCATAATAATATCAATAAATCCTTTGAGACTAAAGATTTTGGTTTAAATATTCTATACTCAGCACATCAAGGTCAAGATTAATTTTCTATGATCATCCTTTTCCTCCCTCTATTTAATCAAATGGCAAAAGATTTTAGGTTTTAAAACACATGTGTATTTAAGAGAACTTACCAAATCATATCCAAATATCATTCTTTTCATTACTGTTTGGTTTCAACTAAATTTTTTTTCCCCATAAAAATAGAATGCTCCAACATGAATCCTTCTAAAAGAAATGGAGACTACCTGCAGAAATCATGGAAAATTTTATATTAACACCTCAAGAAATCACAGAAATGATAAAACCAGAAAATGCTAGTTAGTTTTTAAAAATAATCTTTATTTATTTTTAATATTAAGGATAATAAATATACATGGCAGAAAAGCTATTGTCTGGTTTAATTTCTATTTTAGCAGCCTCAGGATTTTACGATGGTAACAATTAAGTGTGGACCCTGGACAGTTAGTGCTA